TAGTAATGTCAGGGCCCGTGGGGTCAGGAGAAGTTGGTGCAGGCTCTGTGTGAGGGGGGCACCACCTCCCACCCCCCCCCCAAACACACACAGCCAGGAATCCTGCCCACGGCCCCACCCCACTGCAGCTCGGACCCCAAGAGGCCACAGAAACGCCCTGGGAAAGGTCGTTTCCATGAGAACACAGGATGGGAGAAAGCTCCAAAAGCAGAGAGACATGAACTGGCATCTTGACAAGGCGGCCGGGCCCAGGCTGGAGGGGACAGGGTCCGCACAGCCAGACTCACACGGTCGGCCAGGGCCACGCACACCCAGACGTGGTCCCGGCCGCCCCAACACTCGTCTGACTAGGTAGCCGTCACTCCTTCCCACAGACAGAAGCCTGGGGGGCCTGGGGAATCTGGGGCATCAGAGACCACACACACTCAGCCTGAAACAGCCCCCTAGGCAGGTCCCCCCAAGCCCCCCCAACTGTGGGCCTAGGGGGAGGGGCACCTTCCTCCCCACAAGAACCAGGGTAATGCCTACAGTGGCCATCTCCATGGCAACCAACAACAAACATCCCGGGAACCACAGTGGGACAGGAAGTGACAGTCACATGACAGGAAGACTTTTTTTTCAGTGTGGGGAGGGTGAAGATTGTTAGCAGCCCCAGGGAAATCAGCTGTCCTCTAAGCTTCCCCCAGTTGGAGCTAGAGGGAAGAGGGGTGGCTAGGAGGCTGGCCACCCCCCTACCCCAGTGTACCAGGCTGGTCGCAGGACCAACGGGCCCTCCCTCCACGCCTGCCACTCACGGTTCCCCGCCTTGGCCCCCCTCCCCTCCACTTCCTGCCGTGACTGGAGATCAGAGAACTCCCCACCGCAGCTTCCCCTTCTCGAGTCTCGATTCCTGGGTTGAAGGTTTCACTGTGGGGCAAGGGACAGAAGGCAGGAGGGACTGGGGACCTGCAGTAGGACCCAGGGGACAGAGGTTCGGGGGGAGGGACCGAGAGGGAGCCACTCCAGGGCAGGTATGTACACACAGGCACACAGCGAGAGGGTCACGATGACACACAGCGGGGCGCAGTGACACAGGGAGGCCTCCTGACCTCGGGCAGCTCCGGGGAGAGCAGAGCAGAGCCACTGGACCCAGCTCTCCGTGCCCCACTCCGGCGCTGTCCTCAGCCTCCGGGTTCATCCCAGGCTTCCGCCGGCCTCCAAGCCAGCGAGGTCTCCACGGTGCCCCGCCCCAACCCACCTCTCCCCTGCCTTTTGTGCTGAGGAATGCCCCTCCCTGCTCCAAGGTGCCCGCCCAGAGAGGGCACCTTGGCCAGAGGTGGGGGGAATGGAACCTCCCTCTACTCCCCTCCCCTTCTCTGCAGATGTCCCAGACTATATTTAGCCCAAACTGGGAGGCCAGCCAGACCCAGACTCCCCACTGGCCCGGAGCTGAGCTCCCAGTTTTTATGCAATTAAAATATTAACACACAACCACCCCCATCCACACACCCCTGTGCCCCCAGCCCTGCCAGAGCAGCAGAGCTCAGAAAACTTGAGTAAGGGCAGCCCGGCTCTGCAGCTGGTGGGGGTCACTGGGCAAATAGCAGCAAACTCATCCCCTTTCCCCATCTCCCAGGCCCTGCCCCACAAAGGACAGGGACATCACCCGTGAGATCAGGCTGACACTTGGGAGGGGGCAGGCTTTCCTCGTTCTGGGAAGGGAAAGGCCTATCCAGTGGGTTAAGGGTGGGGGGTGCCTGGTTGCAGAAATTCCACCTGTCATTTTGCAGCCCCCTCCCAGGCCGGCTCCAGTTACAGGGCTGGGGGTTGGCAACAGGTGCTGGCCAGGCTGGCAGCAGTCTAATCCCCCCCCCCGCCGCCGCCCCCCTCCAGGCTGACAGTAGTGCCTGGAGGTCCCAGCAGGGGCCCTGGCAGCCAGGATGCAGGGTGGAAGAAAGAGGCGTCTCTGCCAGGCGGCAGCGGGTGGGGGGCCCATACCCCTTCTCTCAGACCTGCCCCCCACACTCTGTGGTGTGTGCTGGAGGGTCTGGGGAAGCCAAGGAAACCTTAGTTCCATAGCGCCTATTTCATTTCCCCATGATGCCAGGCGGGCGGGCTAGAGTGTGGGAGGTCTGTCTGCCTGCCTCTTCCTCCTCCTCCTCTCCAAATTCCAGGAACAAGCAAGGGAGGCTCCAGTTGCGGAGAGAGAGGGAGAGCAAGCAGGCGGTCCCAGCTGGGGAAGGGGGGGGGGGGCGGGGACTGGAGCGGGAGGCAAGATCCAGACGGAGCAAGAGACACCCACACCCGAGCCAGACTGGGGACAGACGCACCAACCCTGACACATTCTCACACTCTGGGCCCGGTCCCTGCACACCGCCCACCCTGCGGGGACACCCAGACACCCTCAGCCAATTCTGCCAGTCCCCAGAACACTCCCTGGACACACACGGAGACGCAGGCACTCGCCCTCACCCGCCTCCCCCACCAAACCGTGTGGGCTCCAGACAGCAGCCAGAGGGTGGAGAGGGAAACGCAGGGAGGAAAGACAGCAGGCAGCGGAGAGGATGTGCAGCCAAAGCCCCGGGAGCTGGGGCATCGCCGCCACACTCCCTTCCCCAAACCCAGTAAGTCAGGCCAGCTCTGGCCATCTTGCCAGGGCCCCTGCCAGCTTCCCACACTCCCAAAACCACTACCACCAGAAAGGGGTGTGGGTGCTGGGCAAGTGGGGATGACCCCGTTTATTCGTCGCAGGGATACAATTACCTTTCCCAGATGCCCCTCACCCCAGACCTCAGAGCGCTCACACACAGACGCCCAAACACACCTACCCCTCCAGCCCAGCCTAGGTCCTGCCCTGCCTCTGCCACTCAGAGGACAGGGAGCTGGGCACCTAGGCTCGTGTTTTGGGACAGGTCCCACCCTCAAGTCACACGGCTCTGAGAAGCACCCCACCTAAGACCCTCGAGTCTGAGCAAGCAGCAGCCTGGTGGGCAGGGGGAAGGTCCCAGAGGGCACGGCCAACTTCCAAGACCAAATGATTCGGGGGAAGGGAAACTAACTGGGGTGTGGGTCAATGCCCCCAAAACAGACCTGAAGGGCCACTCAGATAATGCCCTCTCCCCCACAGTAGACGGGGTGGCAGGAACCACGTCATGGCACATGTGGGTGACTGTGCCCAGCGGGGAATGCATGGGGGTGATCAGGATGGTGTGCCCACAGCTAGCTTCCTGCCAGACTGCCACATGATTGGGAGTGGGAGGGGGACCGCAGAGGTGACCCAGAGGAGTAGCAGGGGCATTGAGGATGACACTGAAGGGCAGAAGAGACGGCCAGAATTATGCCATTCCAAGCCCAGGGTCTGCCAAGAGCTGCCCAGGCCTCTGCACGGCCTTCCACAGTCTGGTGGGGGGCGGAGGGACACTCTGCAGTGAGCACCTCATGCGTGCTCATTCACACCCTCAGCATCCCTCCAAATCCAAGATCCTCAGGTCCCAAGGGCCTACGCAAGTCTGACCTTAGTGACCCATCTATCTCAGGACCCACACGACCAACGCAGACTCCCGGGCAGGACTGATGTCTCAGCCCCTCCTAGTGCACCAACATCTTTCACAGCCACGAACTCCCTGACTCCACGGCCGCCCCCGCCTTCTTCCTCCAGCTCCAAGTCCTCTTTCTCTGGTTCCCTCCCCCAGACTCATCTCCACTGCCCCCCTCAGGGGAAGCCCCAAGGCTCCAAGTCATCCCCACTCCAACCTGGGGCTTCCCCGGCCCAGCCTCCCCATCCAGCACAAGGCCCTGGAGGTTGAGCCCCAGTTGAAAGCTGGAGCCCCAGTCCCCCAGCCAGACCTGGTGTTCTTACTGAGCCACTTCCTCAGAACAACCCTGCCCTCTGACCACTGAAGCCAGGGAATCAGACGCAAGACATCCCTGAAACTCCCAACCAGGAAACAGAGGGTGGAGGACGGTGGTCAGCAGTAGAAGTGAGAGGTGTGCGGAAGCTGGGGGTCTGCAGCAGGGGTCAGGGGAATGGGGAAGTGTTCTCAGGGACGGACCCCTCGGAGACCGTTCATATACACACATGTGCGGACAGCAGGCAGGCCACACCAGGTGGGCATCCTCTCCCAGACAGAGTAGTTGGGAAATGTCTCCCAGGCTGGGGTGGGGGCTGTTTTTCGGTCTGATTTCCATATGAGGCGGCGCACATCCCCAACCTAGCACTCCGGTGGCCCAGTCCCCCTTCCCACGGAGCAGCCAGACTATAGGGCAGTGCCTAGAGAGAAGAGGGGGCATAGCCAAGCTGATGTTCCAGTGCCCCCTCCCGCAAACACATCTGGCTAGCAGCTTCCCCGCCTCGTGGGTGGCACCAGGTCCCAGACACCCTCAGCAGAGCAAAGCCGACCAATCTATTACATCCTCCTCTCAGCCAAAGAGCTTCTACAAACCCCACGATAGCACCAGACCCGGAGACAACCCTCCCCCGACTGCCCTGGTTCCCGCACCCAATTCTGACTGCTCCCCTCACTCCACGGGGGACACCAGCTGAGCAGGGCCCCGCCCCCCAAGCCGGCTGCCTCTGGTGGGGGTGGGCCCCCCGGGCTGATTCTCCCCAAACCACAGGGCGGCTCAGATAACAGGAGGGAGAGAAGGAGGGGGCTAGTCCGTTGGGCATCCGATCTCTCCCCAAACAGGTTTGAAAGTCTTTTTGTTTTGCTTGTTTCTGAAGAGAAAAGAGTGAGAGAGCAAGAGTTCCCAGCAGTGGTTCTGCCACAGCTCCGGCGCGCGGCAGACTGCCCCAGACGCCACCCGGCTGTGCGCGCGATGACACTGGCGAAGACAGGCGCACAGACGGGGCTCCCCCACCCTGGGCACGGCAGCGGCGGCGGCGGGTTGGGAAGCCCAGGAAACCCCGGGTTTCCCTGGGAACCCGCCCGGCACCGGGAGCTCCTATCAGGAGCAGAGCAAGGGGCCCCGATGCCTGTGGGAGCCCGGGGCTCTTCCAAAATCCCGGGGGTAGAAGTTACCTCGCAGCGCGGGGGACGCAGTCCTTCCTGGCACCGCGTTGGTCCTGACCCTTTGCCTTGGTATTACTCGGCGTCAGGGGTGAGAGATCCCGGGAGAGAAGCCGTCCGAGGGACCGCCGCGGCTTAGCTGCGCGGGTCGAAGGCAGCGGCCATGGCGAGTCACGTGCGGAGGCTGAAACTTTACCCTGAGCCCGACTTGGGGGGCGGAGGGTACCGAGCTGAGGGAGGCCCTCTCCCTAAGGACCGCCCCTGCCCGCCCACCAACCAATCACCAGCCAGGGGCCGACCCACAGCATCACACTCCACCCCGCTCTCCTTAGTAGACCTGGGGCTGGGAGAGCCTTAAAGGAGCCGCGCCTAGCAGGAGGCTGGACCGTGGGAATCTGTGAGAATCCCTCCCTCTGCCCCAAAAGGAGAGCTTCAGAGCGAGGAGCTGAAGTTCCGCGGGAAGGCTGGGGAAAGGGCTAGGTGGAGAAAGGACTGCAGTGTGTGGTATCACACTCCCTTCCCCCCCAACACCACACACACACACACACACACACACACACACATACTTAAACCTGGGAAGATGCAATGTGATGTGGAAGTGAACAGTGTCTCCAGCCCTAGCTGTCAAGCCCCTGGCTCCCATAATTACAATTCTCTTCCAGGGACCATTTGGAGCTGAGAGCTGTGTGATCTTAAGCAAGTCGGTTCCTCTCTTTGAATCTTAATTTTCTCATCTGCAAAGAAAGGAGAGCCAAAGTAGGTAGACGTCCCTCAAGTACACTCCTCTCTCTCTCTCTCTCGTCTTCCCCCCAGAACTGCTCCAGCTTGAGTGGGTCGTAGATTGGGGAAACTCCGGCCCTCCTCAAGCCCTCAGCAGCCCCCCACCCTGTAGCCTTCCCCTAAAAGAGCAGCGGCTCTTCGATCTTCCAAGAGCTAAGTAGGGGGCGCTAAGGAGCACCCCTCCATTCTAGAGAACTCTCTCGGACTCCAGCTTCTCTACCCTGGCCCAGGCTGGAGGAGCCAATGAAGCTTACGTGTTCTCTCTCTTTCTTTTTAATCCTTAGCGAGGACATTTTCTTTCATTGTTGTTTTTTAATTTTTTAATTTTTTATTTTTTTAGAGAGAGAGAGGAAGGAACAGAGAGAAAGAAGAAACATTGATTGGTTGCCCAGAATCCACAACCTGGGAATCGAACCTGCGACGCTTTCGGATGGCACTCCAACCAACAGAGCCACACCCACCAGGGCAACGCTTGCATTCTTGTTCCAGTGGGGCAGGATCTGAATCCCTCCCCATCTGCAAGACCCCAGTCCCCAATACAGCTGCATACCCCCTCCCAGCCTGCGGCTCCAGTTTGAGAGGGTCATGTCCCCACCTCTAGCAGTCTGGGGGGCAGGGTGGAAGCGGAATCACTAAGGAACACTCCTCCTTCCCAGTTAGAGAAGTGGCCACAAGTGCCCCCACAGAACTTCCCACTGGAAGGGGAAGTGCCACACTCCCAAGCCTCCAGCCCGAAGGACTGGCCCGACTGGCAGAGCTCCCAAACCCACTCGTCCCACGGCCCCCCCTGCTTTACAGACGGAGGAACCCGAAAGCCAGGAGCGAACATGAGGTTTTGTCCACTGTCGCTTTGGTTACACAGCCAGGTCTAGACTTGAGGTATCTGATTGTCTCTCTCCAGCTTTGGCCCCCAGCCTTGGAAAGGTAAGACAAGCCGGGTCTGCGGGATGCTCTCCCCTGAGGTCTGGCGCAGGGGAAAGGTGCCCGGACAGCGCCTGGCAGCGCTTCCCCAGGCCCCTTCCCGCCCGCTGGGCCCGGCTGTCTCCCGCTCCTGTCTGGATTTCCGTCCGCCGGTGTGAACCGCCTGCCCAGCCCCTCCCGCCCTGTCCTGTCCAGATCCATCCGCAAACATGCGCTCAGCCGGCAGGAATGCGCCAATGGCTCCCAGATGTGGACGCCAACGCTTAACCCCTTCTCCCCCGAGCCCCCCAAAGGCCTTCAACCTGAGCTCTGCCAAGCAGCCGTGGGCGCCGCCCTGGTGAGGGACCAGCCTGGGAGGGGACGCAGCGTCAACCACCCCCAGATCGCACAAGCTGCCCCTGGCCTAGATTCCACCAGTCTTCCTTCCAGCTGAGGCCAGAGGGGAAGGATCATGAACACAAAAATGCAAGTGTGCATAATCGCAGGTACGCAGGTACCTTCCACCGAGGGTGGCCTTCATGTACACCTGCCGGCACATGGCATCAGGTATGCTCATGCACATTGAGAGTCAGGTGTACAAATGCAAACTCAGGACACCCGCGTGCCCTTTCAGAGCACACATATGCACACCCCCACATGCATGCCCAGGGCACCCATGTATGTACATCCATAAGCACACAGAACAAGCACATGCAAGACAGGCATTTGTGGACACACAAGGACATGAAGCAGAGGGTGGGGCACACTCCTACACAGGTGCAGCAGCAAACCCGTGTGCCGACGAAGGAAGAAATGCACGCACCCCCAAACCTGCTCACCACAGGAAGTCACACACGTGCACGTAAGACTGGCATCCGTGTGAACACGCACACGGCCTGCACACCTTCAGTGCACTCCCTCCTGCCCAGGTACCCAGGGCAGGTACCCAGGGCTAGGTATTCTCTAATACCTAGCCCTCCCCAGGCTTGACTCCGGGAGGCAGGAGAGGTCCCAGGTGGGAGGCCAGGAGTCCAATCTGCAGCAGCAGCTGCATCCCAGCCATGCTGGGGCCACAGCCGGGCTCCTACCCGCCATCCTCCAGGGACCTTAACTCAGGAAGGGAGACGATGACAGCGGGGGGTGGGGGGGGGGCGCGTGCCACGGGCCTAGGGGTTCTTCACTCATTAGGAAAGACACTCCTGGAGGCCCACCCTTCCTCCCCAGCACACAGAAGAAGGGCCGCAGGAGAAGCCTGAGCCACTCGTTTCCCAAGACAGGGATCCTCCTCCGAAACCCGAGAGCCCTGACTGGTGCAAGGCCAGAGTCAACCCACAGCAGTCAAAGCAGTCAAAGGAGATACAAAATAACTCAGACATCCCAGGAGAGCCCACACTCCTAACAAAACAAGGCCTCCCTCACAGCCTCTGGGGTCTCCTAGAGAACGGCATCGCTGGCCATCTGAACAGAGTCTGCCAAGACCACCTGGATGCAGGTGGGGTGGGCGCTGTCCGCTGGAACTGTAACCGGCTTCAGTTGACGCCTCTTCCCGTCCCCAGCCTCCCGGCTCCTCCCCAAAGGAGATCCTCCCTCGAGCACCCTCCTGGCCCCACCCCATTTGATTCTCCAGTCCAGAAGGGTGTTCTGGGGTAGGACTCCTGGCTCCATTGTACAGATGAGGAACCTGAGGCTCAAAAAGAAATTGTCTTGCCCAAGGTCATTTGTCGGTGGCAGAGCTATGATTCAAACCCATAGCCGCCTCCTTAACTCGCGCCCCCTTTTACTCCAAATCAAACTTGTTTCCATGCAGCGCCCTGCCACCTCTTCCTTCATCCCCACAACAGAGCGCATGGGAGAAACGCCGTCCTTGCCCGGCTCTGCAGGTCTATGTCGGGGGCCAGGGCACGCCAGGGAAAGATCAGAGAAGGCACCGAGCCGACGCACGGGGGCCCCCCCAGCCCCACCCCAAGCACGGTGCCCACCTGCCCAGCAGGCACAGCCGGGTGACTCAGCTGCATCCGGGGGAGATGCCAGGCCAGTGACTCACCTACCGAGAAGAGCTGAGCCTGGCACTTTGCCAGCCCCAGGACAGAAGTGACTTAGTCACCCAGACTGTGATGCCCAGCAGGCACAGCCCGGGGACTGAGGACAGGGACAGTCTGTGTCCTTCATGGTTACATGCGCCCCCTGGCGAAGAACAGGCATCCCCAGGGCGAGTCATGGCTGTGGGCACCCCTGCCCCTCACGGTGCCCACCCCTACCACACCGGGCCCTGCTCCAGTGCAGGCAGGTTTTGTGAGACCCCTGGGCTGCCCCGAGCGCCCCCCTCAACAGCCTGCCCCTGCCCATCATCACCACCCACTCTCCCACCAGCCCTACCGCCTCCTGCCGCCCAAGTCGTACCCGAGCCATGAGTCTCCTTTAACATGTCCTGGCAGCACCTCCTGCCCCCACAGCCCCTCTCCCCGCCCCCCAGCCCCCTCCATACACACACACACACGCACTCATACAGGCTTCTGCCAGCAGCTGCTGAAGTTGTTGAGCAGGAGGGGAATCGGGAGGGTGGGGTGCAAGGATTGAGTTACCAGAGGCTGACGGGGTGGGCTGTCACCCAATCCCTTCCCCAGCGAGTCCTCCGCTCTGGGGCTCTGGGCACGGGCCTCCTCACCCACCTGCTCCCATCCCGCCCCTGGCCCGCGGCCCACTGCCTCGAAGCCCCCTCCACCCTCACTCCACCCAAGCTCGAAAAGAAACGTTCAGGAGTATTTGTCACGCTAAGACCAGCCCCGTGTAGGAGAGAAAGAGATCAGGACGGAGACAGAGACGGACTGGGAGAGTCATTCGTTCCCGTGCGCGGCGCGCGGGCGGCAGCCACCACGAGGTGTGTATCTCTCCGCGTCTGCGGAGCCGGAAGGGGACGGAGTGACCCCCCACGTCCCAGGAGAGTAGATGGGGCCCGAGGGGCGTCGACAGGCTGAACGACTGACTTCAATCCAATCCATTTGCACTATTGATTTCTCACACACTGCGGCAGGCCTGATGGAGGGGGGGCGTGATACATCAGCCCCCCAGAGACAGAAACAGTGTGGAAAGAGGGGGAGGGGCTCCTGCGCCACCATTCGTGGCCCACGGAGACAGGCCTGGGGGAGCAGGGGGTGGGCCGCCGAGGAATGGGAGACGTGGAGGGGCAGAGGCGGGGCGGTGGAATGGGTATGGGATTAAGGTCCATCCGGAACACTTCCTGCCAGCTGGACCCGAAGCTAATTCGAAGAAAAATGGTGGGGGCCCAAGTGCCAAATTTGGCTCCACAGGCAGAGCCCCCCCGAACAACTCCAGGGGGCGCCACTGACGTCAGCCTGCGGAATGGCCCCTCCTGCGGCTGTGCCACACGGTGGCCCCGGGAATGGGGTTGAGGCAGGAGACTGAATCCCGAGGAACCGTAACTCTCCACCGTCCTTTCTGCCCCAGCATCCCAACCAGCTGCGCTGCCTCTGGGCCTCCGAGTTCTCGCTTCCACCCGGGAGTCCGA